TGTTTGTTCAACCAAAAACATAAATGCACATTAACATTTTTCCTCGTTACTACTATGGTGTCGAATTGGATCCATCAGTCATTTAATGTTTATATTGTTGTTTACAGACCCACTTTTTAAATTAAATCCTTATATTTATTTATTCCTGGGTTTTCATCTATAAAACTATAAATCATAAAAAAATTATTTGCGTTTAGTTGTTTAATACAACAAAAAGAGAATAATTAACACATAACTAAATTTGAGTCATAAATCATCTATTAGATTAAATTAAGTAATTTAACCCATGTCTATATGTATATAAGATTTAATGCACGGTCACTTTGTTACAACATTCTCATAGTGTCATATAAATTCTATTTTCTCACATACGTTACAAATAAAGGCATTCAAAGAAACTAATGTTGTCCAACCAAAATGGTAATGGTAACAATAAAATACGCATGATCACTGATAAAGATAGAAAGCCTCAAAGCAAAACTATGAATGTGGTAGTTTGTCGAATCATTGATGGTGCAGTTATTAATTTATGTGTGTGTTTTTTTTGTCTGGGTTTATAAATTTGGTATTATTCGAAAAGATTGACACGTGAAACGTAATAATGTTCTTTATTTATACGATCAAGATCTAATGACGATTTGAGAGGAAGAGGGAAAGCAGTACATGAAGTATTGTAATCGGCGGATAAATAACATAGGCAGAAATCAATAGCCGCGAGTGGGAAATCACGCGAGTGAATCTCACTCGCGGCGATTTCTCTCTCCAAAACACAAACCTCGTTTCTTCCGTCTCTTCTTTCCGTCTGTCTCTTCGGTGGTCGGTTACGACCGACACCGTGAGAGGGCCACCATCTTCTTCCCCTTTCTGGTCCTTTGTTACATAGGCTCTGGCCTCCTAGTTCCTCTTGACCTGAGCTGCAGTTAGGTGGCGAGTGGGTGGTCGACACACCGTATGAGACGACCGCGTCTGGGTACGAGGTTCTCTCCGCCTTGGCTCCTTTGCTAGCCGGTTGCTTTGGGTCGCCAGTGGAGAATGGTTTGAATCTGTTACCCGCCTCTTATATCTGGTCCGGTGTGGATCTCTTGATCCAAGTCCCTCCCAAGCGATTTCGGCGTCGGAGTTGGATAAAATCGGGTGCAGAGCGGCGTCTGCCCGCCGATCTCTTCCCCCTCCGGCCACTGTAGACTTCGCAATCTTCTGAGGCTCGCCTTGGAAGCTCCGCCACACTTCGATCTTCTTTTGGTGGTTCGGCCATTCTCGATCAGGCTCTTCTGATGGGGTCGGTTGTGGTCCCGATGGAGGCTAGCCCCTGTCCCCACCATGAAGATCGAGGGTTGTCGTCTAGGGCTGCGTTTCTTCGAGATTCCAGTTCCGGGTTGCGCTTCTCAATCCGGTGATTACTGGGTCCCCTCTCTCTTAGTTCATGCCCCCTTTGATGTGATGCAGTTTCGGGATTGAGTTTGTTGATTTGGGGTTCGCTTATTGACGACGTGGCTCGTGGTTTTGGTGTTTCAACGGTGAGTTCTCTC